TGGCAGCGGGCGGCACAGAGCGGGCTGCCGAGCGCAGGCGGGCAAGGGAGAACGGCCGTGCGGTGAGAGGAAGCTTGCAGCAAAATGTTGAAGCGCGGTTTGCTTTCTTTCTGCGTAGGAAATGGAGCCTCACAGCTCTGCCAGCCTGCACAAGCGTGAGTCGGCAGCTTCCGACAGCGAAGACGAGATCGAGTTCGTTGGAGTAAGTCACCTCGCGCCGGCAGCGCAGCGCAGTGCATACAAAAAATGGCCCGGTGGAAGAGGAGGGGGGCTCTGTGTCCCGCGTTGGTAGCCTCGCCTGTGTTTGGGTGGAAAGCGTTGCGTTTGAATTTAGAGTTAGTTTAATTTGTAAATCTTCCAGGCAGTTAACAAGTTTACCTTAAAGGTTTGTCAGCCCTTTCTTTGGAAGGGCGTAAGATGATGTCAGTTCGTCCTACTGATGCCGTGAAAAGCCAGAGTTGGAGACTCAGTAGTCGGCACGCTATTAAGCAGGTATTCTTCATTAAGGCGCCAGGCACACGGGGGATCTCTCCTCCAGACGTGCGCGCCAAACACCCTGTCATTTCAGGTTAATCACAATATGCACATTCACTATATTTCCGCACGAAAGCACGAGAAATGCTTAGCATATTCCTGACTTTTCCAAGAACTAATTAGCATATGTTAATGTCTTTCACGCATGTCTGTTAGTATTCTCGGGTGGTCTTTGGGGGTCTCAAGATGAAGGCTTATGCTCCTCATTACAGTGTCCGCTGGTTGACCTTTGTTTCTGTGCAGACTCAGTGCTAGGATCACCTATAGCGTGTCCTTCCAGGTTGTTTTGCTCTGGTCTTGTTGCTCGCTTGGTGCCTCTTTATCTCTGTAGCTTGGTGCATCTGCCCTCCCAAGGCCAGGCTGTCCAAATAACATTAGCTCTAAGCTCTACCTTAGAGATTTCCTATCCCCCCCAAAACAGCAAGTCAAGCTTGTCTAAGTAGCGTTATTTAGAAGCCTCTTTATCTTAGAGCTTTCCTGTCTTCTCAAAACAGCAAGGATCTAGTTTAGTTTAATTACAATCACCCTGGTAAGTGGAAATTTAACGTTTACGGGTATCACTATAAAGAGAACATAGACTTGAGTATCTCAGCAGTCAAGTGGGAGGTTACAGTGATCGGTGAGGTAGATGAGAAGTTGTTGCAGATGACTCTTCTGGTAATTACATTGCATAGCATTTTGCTTCATGAGTAGTCACACAGGAGTTACGGAATAAAACACTCCTCACTCAGCAAAAGAATGTCAAAAACACTATGTTTAGAAGAGGAGGAGGAAATAATAGGTTAGAGGCCTCAATCAGTCTTCTGAAATTGTGAAGCACTCTACAACAGCTACAGTACAACACCTAGTCTCATGTTGACATGCGGCTTATGTGAGTGTAACTTTAAGACACTTACATCTGTTAGATAGCCAAAAAAAGCAGCATGTTTTTCGTGCTACCTGTGTTCTGGCCTCAGTATGTCATCAATGAAGTGGGGCTGGACGGCAGGGATACGTACAAGAACAGAAAGGTGATTTTCCCTAGGGAACAAGCTAGGTGAATAAGGTCGAGTAGTTAATTGATGCCAGGACTAATGGCTAATTTCCTGTGGATCTGTCGTATTTTTCATGCTGAACAATAACTAGATATTTTTTTCCTCAATTTTGTATGGTGTTTGATTAAAGCCTAAGTTCAATTTACAGACTTTTTTGTGCAGGGGTATTTAGGTGCTCAAGTATGAGGGACGTATATTATTGCAAAAATTACAAGTAGTTGATTGTCTCTGAGACTTCTTGGTCTTTTAGTTGATTTAGTCAAAATCAAATAATGAGTTCAAAGTTCATTATATACACACAAAAGCATTCACGTGTAACATAATTGTATAAGCTTCATTTTCTTGAAACACTGGGCAAAGCTTTGTATGTGCAATGATTGAATGGCTGCTGGAGCACCCAGAGCAGTAGGTGAAAGAAAAGAGACTTACTAAAATCAATGCTTTTGCTACTTTTTTTTTTTTTCCTCTTGTTTTTGTCGGTTTATAATAATTAGGGGACCGGAGCATCTCTCCTACAAGGAAAGGCTGAGGGAACTGGGCTTGTTTAGCCTGAAGAAAAGGCTGAGAGGGGACCTTATGAATGCCTACAAATATCTTAGGGGTTCAGGAGGATGGGGCCAAACTCTTTTTAGTGGTGCCCAGCGACAGGACAAGGGGCAATGGGCACAAACTGAAGCACAGGAAGTTCCATCTGAACATGAGGAAGAACTTCTTCCCTCTGAGGGTGATGGAGCACTGGAACAGGCTGCCCAGGGAGGTTGTGGAGTCTCCTTCTCTGGAGCTATTCAAGACCCGCCTGGACAAGGTCCTGTGCAGCCTGCTCTGGGTGACAGGAGGGTTGGACTAGATGACCCACAGAGGTCCCTTCTAACCCCTACCATTCTGTGATTCTGTAGTCCCAGAGATGAGTGCTTCTGAGAGAAGCTGCTGTATATAGGAAGGTGACTGTGCGTAGACTTGTTTGCACAGGATTGGTGTTCAGAGTTGAGACGCTTACTGTTGTCACTGATGAGTACAAGGGGAAAGGTGTGTGACCCTGGCTATCACCTAAGGTCAGTGGTGTGTCCTCAGCTCTCCCATTTGCTCTTCAGGGTGAGGATGAACTTGGACTTCGCAAAAGGATTTCTAAACTATTTGGGTAGCTTTGGATCATAGTTCCCGTATAAAAATGTGTGTGATTAGAAGTGTATAGGCCTCGTAAATGTTGTGTATGAATGCTACTTGATCATCCAAGTACTATTTGCTGCATGTCCTAAGGACCCAGTACACCAGGTGGTACTGTATAAGCTGAATTAGAGAAGCCACTTGGGTATCTCAGCCTGTGCTTGTGTTGATAGAAAACAAATATTTGTAGGCCATGTGATCTGTGTTTTACTTTTTTTTTTTTTTTTTTTGAAAGTTGGATTTTTTGTGTGTGGGGGGGGGTTTTGTGTTGGGGTTTTTTGGGGTCTTTGTGTTTTCCATTTCAATCACTCATCTTAGGATGTTTGAATTCTTACTGTAGGACTATGACAAAAAGTCCTCATTTGATGGAGCAGAAGCAATCTCTGCTGCCAGAGTTTCTGAGCTTTTACAGTCAGATTTTGCCTCATTCAGGAAATTTACAACTGTTCTTCCATAATTTCCCACCTCTTAATTCTGCATTACAACATATTTTGTCCACTTAAAATCATTAAAAGGTTTGCATACCAGCAGAAAAATATAATCTACAATGCAAGCCATTAGTCTTAATCGCTTCGTTTCTTTGGATAGGATGGTCTGGCCCCCATTCTGTTTCCTTGGGAAGGATAAGGCAAGAGTGAAGAGCTTTGCAGGTTTAATGGGGTCTGTAGCACTGAAGTAGACGGATTATTCGAGTTGCCACAGTCTGCACTGAAAGCACTGGAATCCTCCTGAGTTGTTTTGTGTTTGGTTTTTTGGTTGGTTGGTTGGTATTGATCCACTTGTACTTTTTTCTGACTTATTTCTTTAAAGACAAGGCTCATCATTATGCTGCTCTTTTAAAAAATGTAAGTTATCCCTGGTAAAGTTAGTGGCTTTCCTAGGCAGGGGCTTTACTTAGCATTGTAACTCTGTCGGACCTCAAAATAAAAAATAGTTTTATAAAGTGTTTAAGAACCTACTGACTCTGCTGTTGTGTTACAATGGCAAACACTTTTAAGGAGGGCATTTGTGTTCATTTTCTGTAAACATTTGTTAAGTAAATATAAAGATTATGTATCCAGAATAAAACTCAACTGGAAAATTGAAGATCTATGAATTTAAAAATTATTTTCGTTTTCTGATGCAGTGTTACATTTATGCCAAGTTTTCTTCGCTATTGGTGATCTTTATTTCAAGAGTCTGAATTCAAAGGAAAACATACTTCCATAGGCCCTGGTTTATTCAGTAATGAGCTCTAAACTGATGTCCATTTGAGATCCAGGAAAAACAAACCTATACTTTGCAGCTTTTACTTTGTACAGTGTTTTAGCTGCACTTCATGACAAAAGATACAGCCCCTCTCTCTTCTGGAAGAGTTGGAACTTAACTTTCTTGCAAATGAATGTTTGTTTTTATTTTGAACATGAACAAGACTTCTGGTCTATTTTGGGAACCGATGATACTAGAAAAAATTATTCATTAAAAATGATTGCAGTGCTTTGAGTTCCTGCAGAGATCAGAGAACAGGTAAAGCTTTTCGTTTTCCTTGTAACTGTTGTTTTCCAATAGAAATTATATCTGAAGAACATTTGGCCCCGGGATATACCAAAATCAAGTGATT